GATGCTGCTTGGCCTGCTGTGTTCATCCAGCTCTGCACCTTGTTGTCCCGGATTCTCCAGCATCTGCAGTTCTTACTATCCCTAATGTTCAGGGGACATGGGTTTGACTTCCATCATAGCAGTGGTGAAATTTGAATTCAATACAAATCTGGATTTAAAAAGCTAGCCTAAAGACATGCATGAATTAAACAATTGTTGTAAAAGCCCATCTGATTCAGTAATGTCCTTTAAGGAAGGAAATCTGCCTGAACTGGCCTATGTTTGACTCCAGACCCACACCAATGTGCTTGCCTCTTAATTGTTTTCTGGGCATTTAGGAATGGGCAATAAATGCTAGTCAGTGATGCCCACATCCCGTGAATGATTTTTTTTAAATGCCAAGCACAAGAATGTGCGAGTTGACAAGAAAGCACAAGTTGGAGGCTTCATGAATCTGTTGATGTTATGAGGCTTCAAGAGTTAGAAAGTCTTATGAAGATTCAGGAGTTAGATGGGTTGAAACCAAATATCACTCAAGCAACTCACATATCAAGACCAATAAGATTAGAATTGAACTGAGATTAAAGTGAGCTTCAAAGGTTAACTTTGCCTTTTAGAGAACTAGCATAACTGCCAAGTAATTCTGACAAATTTTGAGATAGTTTTGATAAAGGAATTGTCTTCTAGACTGTTAAGAAGATAGCACTCAACTTTAACTTTTCAATCCTGTTGCAGACTTACAGAAGTCATGAGCAGTTCACTCAGAATGACTTTGTCTGGTCAACATTCTGGTATAAAAGGTAGAAGACAGCAAGACACCAGATCTAATGGAAAGGGACATGTGAGGTACGGAATCTTCTATCTGGCTGAACATCATTTTAATTTTGTCAACGGCACAGATGAAAGCAATAGCAGTGGAAAAGCGGCCAAAGTTTTCAATGGACGTCTCATTTGGTTAGCTTACAATGCCAAACAAGACAGAACTAGTTTCAATACAGAAGTCTATTTGTTTCAAAACGTACTCTGCAAGAGGCATTGTGCCTGTTTCAAAGAGTAACCCAGTTAATTCACATTTCTGCTTTTTAGTTCAATTCCCGGTTTTTTATCCATATCCTTGATTTGTTTTTCCCTTCAATGTGTTTATCCAATTCCCTTTTGAAGGCTATTACCTACCAGTGTACTGGGCAGTCTATTCCAAATCCTACCAATCACTGCTTAAAAATAGTTTTCTTCATGTAACTTCTTGTTCTTTTGCCTGTCATCTTAAATCTGTGTCCTCCGCTTATCCTGTTGGAAACAGCTAATTATCCTCCTTCATTGAAATTGTTACACTTTGGACTCTTCTGAGTTAAATTTCATCTGTCTTGTATCCATCTATTCCAAAAAACTTTCACCATGACTCCCTGTTTTCTGTCCCTTAACCGATTGTACATTTACGTTTCTAATGTCCCTTTTGTCCCATGACTTCAATTTTGCTCATGGGTCTAATATGTGGTACTTTACTAAATATCTTTTGGAAGACACTAGTGTGAAAGTTGAAAGGTGACAAAAAAAGTCTGAGCAATCAAATGCAAGGATACATAATTTGCCATGATTGCCCTATTAACAGCCCCACAGCCATTCCCAATCTGTTTTCAAATCCCTCCAGGAACTCCACCCTATCTCTGTAACCTCCTCCAACCCTACAACACTTTGAGATTTCTGTCCCCCTCCAGGATGGCTTTTGCATATCCCGTAAGCTTTGGAATTTCCTTCCTAAACTTCTGCCTCTTCCTTTAAAATGCTTCTTAAAATCTGCCACTTTGAACACACTTTGGGTGATCCTCATAACTTTTTCTGTGGTTTGGTGCCAAATTCTGTTTCACAGTCACTCCAGTGAGGCAACTTGAGATTATTTACTCCAATTAAGGATGCTATACAAATTCAAGATTTAGTTCCTAGTGAACACGAAGTCAGCAAAAATGGTCATCTTGTAATTGTGGAAGTTGAACAATTAGTTTTGAAATAACTCCAAGAAGACCGGTATCCCATCACCAAGTCACCCTTTATTTACATGTGCACAGTACACTGGCTCCAACCAGTCAGCTCAGAGCCAGTCCCCAGAATGAAGAAACTTTCTGAATCTCCTGTTTATATTTGAGCAGGTTTTTTTTCCCTTTATTCATTGAATGGAACGAGAGCGTCACTGTCTAGGCCAGCATTTATTACTCATTCCTAATTGCTCAGAGGGCATGTTATGAGTCAACCATGTTGCTTTCGGTCTGGAGTCATATGTTGGCCAGATCAAGTAAGGATGGCTGTTTCCTTCCCTAAAGGGCATTAGTCAACCCAGATGGGTTTTTCCAACAATCAGCAATGGATTCATGGTCATTATTAGACTCTTAATTCCAAATATTTATTGAATTCAAATTCCACCATTCGCCATGGCAGGATTTGAACCCACGTCCTCAGAACATTTCCTGGGTCTCTTAACAGCCCAGTGATAATACCACTCGGCCACTGCCGCCCCTCAATCCCCTGTTTATATCTGTTAGCCAGGGCTCCCTGATTGGCCCAGTTTAACAACCCCAGTCAAGGATCTCATAGACAATGGGATCCACCTGCCCCTGGTTCCAATCACTACAAGTTTAAAATATTTTCGCCTAGATATGTCAATGACCAGACAGTTATTATTCCAGTGATGCACATGAGCACCCTGCAGAATCCCCATCATAGCACACTCCAAAGGAATTGCCTAGGAATTGAATTTTTCACTGGGAAATTCCTCTATGCTTGGAATCCTCTGAAAGTCTCCACTTAGGTCTGAGACTCTGGAGGTTCTGATGAAATGAAGTAACATAGTTACTCAGGAAACATTAGACTACTAAGTAACTATTTAACAGATCTCATTATTAGTTGAGATAACCCCAACTTCTCCCCAGACCTCTTACATCCCACAGATCCTGAACCAACCCCCAACCTCTGGGACTTGGTACACCTGACCTGCTCTTTACCCAACCGCATTGCAGACCCAACCCCCCAACATCATCAGTCCTCCCTTCCCACACCACCCGCTGCTGTAAGAGACCTGACTGTCAACACCCCTTCCTGCCACCACTGGCAGACCCCACAATTTGTGACTCCAGACCCTCTGCCACTACCCTCAGACCCAGCAAAACTCCTCCCCATGTGACTGCCCAACCATCCTGCAGCCACCACTGGTCCAGACCACTGGCCCCATCCCACCATCGCCACATCCAAGAGCTGACACCACACCCCTTGCCACTGCCCACAGACCCACTCCACCTGTCCCCTGCCAGACCCAGTTTTGTGCAACCATCCTGATTTGCCGTAAACACTGCATCACTTAGCTCGGCCCCTTGCAACCTTGCATCCTGACACCCAACCCACTTGTCACCTTACTTTACCTGGCACTCTGACCCCCTACCTAGGGCTGGCAACCTACCTCACTGGCATGCTACTCCTGGCACATTACCCAGCTGGCACCTACTTATCTGCTCACCTGGTGCCCTACTCTCCTGGCAGCCTATCCCCCTACTTGACACCTTTCTCTTCCAGCACTTGAATACCATACTTCCCTTATATACTTACCCTTTGTTAGCAGTTGTCAAAGTGACTGTCTGAACCTTTAAATGTCAGAATATGGCAGCTGACTGACGTAAAAAGGGGCATAATTTGCATTTCTCCAACAGTTTTGCACTACAAAAGAACTGTCAGAATTTCAGTATTGCTCTGCATTTCAGAGGGAACCTTTAGTGGAATGTACTTTCAGAAATGCAGAGCTCCCTTCTTTTGTAAATAGATGGGTCAGAGTGTGAAAGTGAGTGAGACAGCCAATCCTTGGAAAATCCAGCCTTCTCCATTCTTTCATGGAAAGTGAGTGTCACTGGCAAGGCTAGCATTTGTTACCCCTCTCTAATTTCCCTTGAACTATGTGGCTTTCCATTTCAGAAGGCAGTTAAGATTCATTGGCTGTAAAGTGTTTTAGGATGCCCTGAGGTTGTGTAAAGTGCTATACAAATACAAATTTTTTTTTACTATACATATCCAAACACTTTCTAACAGGGTCACTTGATAGATATATATACAGATACAGAGCACTACTGAGCCATACTGTCCGGCACTGTGTTGGTATAATCGCTAATTTCTATCAGGTTAGTTGATTTTATGTGGGGAATCTGTAGTTTGCTTCAATCATTAAATTAGAATACAAAGGGAACAGTCACCCAGGTTTCAAATTTCTGATCTCTTTCCAATGGCAGAAACTATAGGTTCATACACAGAAGGAGACCATTCGATCCAATCTTCCTGTACGAGGCCTTTGAAAGAGCTATTCAAATAATTTCACTGCCCTGAAGGACTTTTGAAATGCAGTCACCATAATAGGTAAGGCAGCAACCAATTAATGCAAAGCAAGATCCTACAGACATGCACTGGGACAATGAGGGGGTAATCTGTTTTTTAATGCTGTTGGCTGAGGGACGAATAATTGCCGGTAAGAACTTACCTGCCATTTAAAATAATACTGTGGGAATCATAGTCCACCCTCAAGGGCAGATGGATCCTTTTGTTTTAACACCTCATCTAACTGAAGTTCCTGTAAGGGAAAATGGGAAGATCATTTAATGTCCATCTCAGCTTCTTTTCCATTCCTTCGTGATTGAGGAGGGTCTGTCTTTTCAACTTGGTATTAAATGAAATGCTCCACTGGTTGCATATTTTGAAGTTGAGTACTCTCACCTGGCACCATAATTCAATCTAAGGAGGACTTTTAGCCTGAAATGGCAAGCGTATAAAGAACTCACTTGAAAAATGACACCAAGTAAAGAAAACATCATAATTTCAGCCATTTATTCAGAGGTGAAAGGCTACAGAGATCACATCTAGAGGGCAAAAAGGAGTGCAGCAGAAAGGAGGGGTTCACCTCAGCATAGTCGGATGATGCAGTTGCAGACGAGCTTCAGTGAAGATTGGGCAAGATAGACGAATCAGACATAAGATGACAGCATATTTCCTAGCAGAAGATTTTACAAGCAGGGAGATCATGTTCGAGCTGCACAGGGCTTTGGATAGGCCACAGGTGAAGTACTGTGTGCAGTTCTGGTCGCTGAACTATAGAAAGGATATGATTGCAATAGTTTTGATGGGGGCTGCAAAGGAAATTCATCAGGTTGTTGCTTGGAGCATTTCAGCTATTAACAGAGACTGGATAAGCTCAGGTTGTTTTCTTTAGAGCAGAGAAGTTTGAGCCGGAACCTGATACAGGTGTATAAGATTATGAGGGCCATGGACAGGGTGAATAGAAAACAGCTGCTCCCCTTAGTTGAAGGGTCAAGAATAAGGGGCACACTTTTAAAATGAAAGGCAGGAGGTTTACAAGGAATTTGAAGGAAAGCGTTTTCACTTAGAAGGTGGTGGGGATCTGGAATGCACTACCTGGGAGGGTAGTTATAGTGGGTTTCCTCACAACCTTAAAAAATTGTTTGGATGAACTCTTGAAGTATCATAACTTTCAAGGCTATGAGCCTAGCACAGGAAAGTGTAACTAGTGTAGATAGTAGTATATTTTTGACAGTAAGACCTGATGAGCCAAATTTGTACTGGCCTCTTTTGTACTGTATGATTCTAGGTAGCTAAAAGCAGTAGCTTGCTTGTCTACATCAATGCCTGGTTGTATTTTCAAGCCCCTTTTTCATAATTATTTTTGATCATCTTGTTCAGACATGTTAGGCAACGTCTTTTGGTCCAGAGGTAGGAATATTACCATTCCATCATAAGTGACCTCACCATAGACCCTTTTAATATAATTTCTATTTGCACTCCTGTCAGAATTACTCACAATGAATCCAAGGATTTTCTACTACATAACATTAAGATTTTTTCATTCCACAGAGGGGATCACAGCAGGGTCAGCAGTGGCTCAACTGGTGATATGCTCATCCATCAGGCAGAAGGTCATGGGCTGAAGGAACACTCCAGAGACTTGAGCAGAAATTCTAGGCTGACCTCTGGAAATACTGAGCTTGTGCTGCACTGTCAGAGGTGCTACTTCTCACGAGATATTAAACCGAGTGTGTGGAAAAGATCCCATAACATTATTTGGAAAAGAGTGAATTTTCCCCCAGTAACCTAGTCAATATTTATCTTGTAACAGCATGAGTAACACTTATTGGCCCAGATCTAACAAACAGGATTTAAAACTCTATTTGCATTCTCATAAGATAGTAAAATAAACACTTACCTTCAGAGAAGTTCTCCAGGTGAACCTCGAGAGTGCTAAAATTCAGGAACTTACACAGCCAACAGCGGGGTGGATTGTCATTGAAACTGAACCCTTTTGTCTCACTATGTTCTAGGATTTAAAGTTTCTGAATCCTGAAGGTAAAAGTCTACAATCAGGGAGGAGAGGTGTGGCAGATAGGTAAGGGTTGGGGACTATGTGGCTGAGGTAAGATGGTAAATGGGGTGGACTTAGGGGCTGTGACAGCAAATCTGTCAAAAGGTTACAAGTTTTGAGGATGAGGGTGGTGTGGGATAAGGGTGCAATCCTTAGGGATGGAGACTGGGGTATTGGATGTCCATGGATGGTGTCAGACTTGGGGGACTGTGTTGGGTGGACTCTGGTTGGTTCTGCAGGGTGTTGTTGGGTCCAAGGAGGGATCAGGAGGACTCCAGGTTTTGGTCATGTTGAGTCCAAATGGGCTGATGTATGGGGTTTGGATGGGGAGGTCAAGGGTTTGAGTCCAGCAGAGGAAAGAGGGTGTCATTTCTAGGGGAAGGCTTAGGGAATGGGACAAAGTCACAGGTTTTGGGGTCTAGCTGTCCGTGCTGATCAGCAGGATAGAACATAGAACATAGAACATTACAGCGCAGTATAGGCCCTTCGGCCCTTGATGTTGCGCCGATCTGTGAAACCAATCTGAAGCCCATCTAACCTAAACTATTCCATTATCATCCATATGTTTATCCAATGACCATTTAAATGCCCTTAAAGTTGGCGAGTCTACTACTTTTGCAGGCAGGGCATTCCACGCCCTTACTACTCTCTGTGTAAAGAACCTACCTCTGACATCTGTCCTATATCTATCACCCCTCAATTTAAAGCTATGTCCCCTCGTGCTAGCCATCACCATCCGAGGAAAAAGGCTCCCACTGTCCACCCTATCTGATCCTCTGATCATCTTGTATGTCTCTATTAAGTCACCTCTTAACCTTCTTCTCTCTAACGAAAACAGCCTCAAGTCCCTCAGCCTTTCCTCATAAGATTAAGCTGATCTCCTCATCTCTGTCTTAAATGGATGATCCCTTATTCGGAGATAATGCCTTCTGGTCCCTGACTTTGCCACACGGGGAAATAAACTCTCAGCATCTACCCTGTCAAGCCCCCTAAGCATTTCTTATGTTTCAATAAGATTGCCTCTCATTCTTCTAAATGCCAATGAGTTGTAGAACTAACTCTAGCCCTAACCTACTAAACAAATACCAAAATTGCTGGAGAAATTCAGCAGGTCCGGCACCATCTGTGGAGAGAAAGCATAGTTAACATTTCAAGTCCAGTGACCCTTCTCCAGAACTGTTCATGAAATGTGGGCATTTCTGGCTGGGCTAGCATTTATTAGTCATCCCAAGTTTCCCTTGAGGTGGCAGCAGAGAGCTGTATTCTTGAACTGACGAGACAGAATACAGGAAAGAAAGTGCTTGGTGGCATGGTGTAAAGATAACAATCTCTCCTTCAACATCAGCAAAACGAAAGAGCTGGTCATTGACTTCAAGAAGCAAGGGGGATGGCATGCCCTACATCAATGGAGCTGAAGTGGGGACGGTCGAGAGTATCCAGTTCCTAGGAGTAATGATCAAGAAAGTACAACAATGCCTCTACTTCCTCAGGAGTTTAAGGAAATTCGGCATGGTTTGTAAAGACTCTCACCAATTTTTATAGATGCACCATTGAAAGCATTCTATGCAGATGCATCGTGGCTCAGTACGGCAACTGCTCTGCCCAGGACCATAAGAAACTAGAGTTGTGAACACAGCCCAGTCCATCACGCAAGCCAACCTTCCATCCACTGACTCCATCTACACTTCTCACTGCCTCAGGAAGGCAGCCAACATAATCAAAGACCCCTCACATGCCAGTTATAATCTTTTCCAACCTCTTTCATTGGGCAGAAGATACAAAAGCTTAAACCGATGTACCAACAGATTCAAGAACAGCTTCTTCTCCACTATCTGAATGGACCTCTCAAATTTTAAATTTAACATTGGTCTCGCTCTTTGTGCACCTTCTCTGCAGCTGTAACATTGTATTCCTTGCTCTGATCTATTACCCTAATTCACTTTGTATGGTATGATCTGCCTGTACTGCACCAAAACAAAACTTTTCATTGTACCTAGGTATGTGTGACTATAATAAATCAAAAATCAAAATCAGGGTTATGTTGGAGTATAATTTAGCTACTTCTAACGGCCCACAGTGCCTCGCTGATACCAGATTGAGTACTAAATCTGTTTCAAGTCTATCCCATTTCAGATGGTGACAGTACCACAGAACACAATGGTTGGTATTCTCAGCATGAAGATGGGACTTTGTTTCCACAAGGACGTATGCATCTTCAACAGACAGATTGGTGAGGATGAGGTTAAGTATGTTTTTCCCGCTTGTTGGTTCTCCCACCATCTGCTTTAGACCCAGTCTAGTAGCTATGACACTGGACTAATAAACCAGGTTAATGTTCTGGTGAAATTTGAATTCGGTAAAAATCTGAAATTAAAAAACTAGCTATTGTCAACCTTGTAACCACTGTCAATTGTCATAAAAACCCATCTGTTCTTCTGACATTACTAATGTCCGTTAGGAAAGAAAATCTGCCTATGTGACTCCAGACCCACAGCAATGTGGTTGACTCTTAACTGCCCACTGAGCAATTAGAAATGAGCAACAAATGATTGACTGGTGATGGTGCTACTGAGCCACTCTTGATGATGGACACCGAAGTTCCCTATACCTAGTGCTTCTTCAATGTATTGTTCAACATAGAGGATTATTGACTCATTAGCTAAGGGAGTGTGGTACAAGGTAATTAGCAGGAGGTTTGCTCACCCATGTTTGACCTGATGTCATGAGACTTCAGATTGCAGACTCCCAAGGCAACTCCCTATCCTCCTTTCATAGAATCGTGCAGTGTAGAAGAGGCCCTTTGGCCTATCAAGTCTGCACCAATGAAAAAACTACTGTAAATCTATTAATCCTACTTTCCATCATTTGGCCCATGGCTTTGTATGTCGTGACATTTGAAATGCTCATCCAAGTACTTTATAAAGATTGTGAGGTTTTCTGCTTCAACTACACTCCAGGCAGTGCATTCCAGACCCCCACCACCCTCTGGGTGAGAAACATTTTTCCGAACACCCTCCAAACCTCCTACTTTTCACTTTAAATTGTTCTTGACCCTCAACTAATGGAACAGCTGCTTCCTATCTATCCTGGACATGCCCCTCATAATTTTATGCACCTCAATCAGGTCGCCTCTCAGCCTTCTCTGTTCCAAAGAAAACAACCCAAGCTTATGCAGCTTCTCTTCAGAGCTAAACTGTTCCATACCAGGCAACATCCAGGTGAATCACTTCTGCGTTCCAAGTGCATCTGTGTGATCACATCCATCATGTAGTGTGGTGACCCAAATTGCACATAATACTTCTGTTTGAAGTCTATCCCATTTCATATGGCGGTAGTACACACAGTACTCCAGCTGTGGCTTAACCAAATTAGTGTACATCTCCAAGGTAACCTCCCTGCTATTACAAGCTATAGCACAATGCCTTCCACAATCTCTGCCTTTCCTGAGTAACTATCAAGTGAAGTCAGGTAGAGATCTCTAAATCTCCAATCCTAACTTATGGTTGGGCTTTTTTTTCTGGAACTTTCCAGAATTTGCCCATTGGAAATTTCAATTTCCAGGGCAGTTCCATGTGCATCCGCTGCATCGAGACACCTGAACTGTACTGACACGCCACTCCAATCCACACTGCTGCAACAACCATCTTTCCATCATTAGATCTAGGCCATTACCATGTCATTATCTCATTGCTGTTTATGCCCTTAAATTAACTTTTTCTTACCTTACAATTGTAACTCCATTTCAAAAATATGCCTCATTGTCTGTAAAGTATTTTTGAACTTCCACTGCCATATAAATTGCTGGTCTTTTTTAATTACACTTACATTACATGTCATTCTGAGAGTTTTGCTGTTAGCAAGTTGAAAATTATGTTCAACAGCATTTAGGTACACAAGCAGGCCACTACTCAAACCCATTCCATTCTACTTAGGAGATGGAGCACTCCCATTTCCCATTCCATCCTCCGCAGGGACGTGCCCTGTATTCAAATCTATTCCACCCTCCCAAGGAGTTGCCCACTACCCAAACCCATTCCACACACTTAGGGTTTAACCACTCCCAAACCGCTCCCCCCTGCCTTTTGGGGTTTGATCACTACCCAAACCCATTCCAAACCCCTTAGGGATTTGACCACTCCCATTTCACCCTCTCCAAGGGTGAGCCCACAATCCAAACCCATTCCATTCACGCTGGCAGTGTTCTGTCCTATGCCCACTGCCTTCCATCCTCTCCAGTAGTTGTTTTCTCTAATAGATCCCAGCTCCTGCTCCCAAACCTATGACTCTATAAAACCCCTTATCGACCTCAGTTACACCCCAACAAGATGAACAGCCCAAACAGTGGTCAGAACACCCTTCCCTACCACTGGAGAGGCCCCACCCACATACCCAGAGCCCCACCCCCTCACCCCGGAGCCACGCCTCCCTCTCCACGTGTCGCTGGCGATGCTGAGGCCCGCCCACGCGCCCCCCACCCCCCCCGCCCCGGCTCGAGCTCAGTGACAGCGGCGGCGGGAGACAGAGCGGATCCTCACGGCGGCCGCATCTCCAAGGGCCGGCATTCAGCAGCTCCGACCTGAGGGGGGCAGGCAGCAGGAGACCTGTGCGTCTAGAACCAGCTCCTACAGGCAGGTCTCTCACAGACTCTCCCCCACCCCCCTCACACAGACTCTCCCCCACCCCCCTTACAGACTCGCCACACCCCCCTCACACAGACTCGCCACACCCCCTCACAGACTCTCCCCCACCCCCCTCA